AGACTAGTGGATCCACTTAGTAGTAGGTTCTATACCCTGACAAAGTATAGGATGGCCTTGGCAGCGTGAGGCAAGGCGATGTATCATCACATAGCTCATAGTGATAGTTGTCGATTAGAGAATCTCCCACATAGTTACTTGTATTTTCATATACAAAACTAAGTTACTATTGTGTTTTTCAATACACTGAGTTGTTATCTACATTTTTAAAACGTTTCTTTGTACTGCATCTTTATTACTGTTTTATATTGAAAAGAGTTGAGTTGAGTTGAGACGTTTCTTCAGTTCCATTTCAAGCTTATGTCTTGTTTTAAAATTCCCCTCATATGCTCGTACATTTCATGTACTGACGCCATTTGACCTGCATCTTTTATGATGCAGATACAGGTAACCAGGATCAACATCCAACGCTTCGTTGATCCAGTTGAGCTTTAGAGTTGTTGGTGAGCCTCCTTGCTTCCAGAGGATCCCTTTTATTTGCTTTATCATTCTAGTTTTGTTAGGATGTCGTGGGTCTTTTCCCGACATCCATTTCAGTTATTAGAGACTTCATAGATAGTTAGATATTGTTAGTTCATGAGTCTTTTCATTTTCATTCAGTTATGTTGAGATTTTAGTTGCCGCTTTGACTAGTTGAATGTTTATTTAGAAAACATTCTAAGTTATCATTTGAGTTACAATTTACTTTTAGCGTGCTTTTATTATGAGTAAGTCTTCCGCTAAGAGTTAAGCCAGGCCAAGGGTTCGCTTAGGGCAAGCAATGGTTCTCGAGTGTCGGCCATCCCCAGAGTATAGACTCGGAGCGTGACAGTAAGCCTTACTAATATTACTCTATATTGTATGGACAAAAAGGATCGAAAAAATACATGGCATGAATTGCATAATAAAGAATGCTACTATTGAGATCAATGACAAGCATAATAAAGAATGCTACTATTGAGATCTATGACAAGGTAAATGATCTTTTGGATCTCCCGATTTGAGGGGTAGTCCATTTTTGGCTATTTATTTTTGAATTCTTAGATTTCAAAAGCAGATATTTTACACTTTTACAACATTTTATAATGAAAATGTCTACTTCAAAATCTACAACATCCGAACATATAAAGTAGTAGACTCTCACTCAATTTGTATTGTTGGTGGCAAAATCACATAACATTATAAAAATAGTAAGCACTAAAAACCTTTCTATTTTTATGTTATACGAACCTAAGAATCTTTGGTCTAGGTTCAATCTTAGTTGTTTAGCTTAGGTCCATCAATCAATTTATCGTAAAATTGAAAATACTTGTATTTGATATTCACAAATTAATTTGGTAGATTAGAGTATTGCTTTGAAGACATTATTTACAAAAAAATAGATAAATAAATTTGGTAGATTAGGGATTTGCTTTGAGGACATTATCTACGAAAAATACATAAATAGTTGAGTGTATTATTAAATGAACTCTTACATTAGTTATTATCGTTTTACTCAACTTTCATGAGGTTTCATCAACCTTTCATCAAATGAGACATCTTTAATGTCATAGTTTGCACGGTTAGTCCATGTGCCGATGGACGGTCCTTCTTCAAGAGAACAAATTCGAAAAACATAATCAGGATCAACCCTCCAAAAAAAAGTTTTCTGTTTAAATCTTACTAATAATTAGAAAAGTTTATCATCATAATTCTTAATTTATTGGGGATTTGGATACTTACTGCAAGTTCTTTTGCCTTTTAACTAATATATTCAAGCATTTAATTTTAGATACAAAAAATATAAAAATAGTTAAAAGTGTGTTTGATATTTTCATGTTATGGTTTTTAACTTATAAACTATTTTTATAAGCTTTTAACTTTACACACTAATATTATTATTTATAAAAGTAGAGATTAATTCTAGTTAATAAGATGTTTGCCAGTTGTTTGTAATACATTATCTTGATCATCGTTGTATAAACTATATTTATTACTCTAAAAATTTGAGTTATTTAATTCAAAGTTCTAAAATATTTTTTATAAAAAGACATTCAAAACTTATGATATTAAATAAAAAATAGATTGCTAACAAGGACCAAACAAAGAGAAAAAAATAAGAGAGTTGAATTTCATTTTATTGAATAAAGAGTTAAAGCTATACTGACATAGGAAGTTCAAATAAAAAAGAGTTGAATTCGCCTTTTGGGTTATACTCCCTCTATCCCTAATTACTTATCTATTTTTAAATCGACACACCTATTAAGAAATCAATTAATGACATAGTGAATTTACTATTTTACCTCTATTAATTATGAAGTGGATGAATTGAGGGTATAATATGTAAAAAAAAATTGTCCTTTCTTGATTTGTCAAAATGGACAAGTAATTAGTGACAACTATAAAAGAAAAAGTGAACAAGTAATTAGGGACAGAGGGAGTAGCATATAATCAACTCAAGTTCCAAATAAATTTACTCATCTTTGGGAGATGAAATATAAGTCGTATAGATGGAAATGAAAAGACTCAAATATATTATCGAATTTTGAGAAAAAAATCATCATTAAAAATTGGGCTAATCAATGTCACGAGTTTAATATAGTATCCATAAATGCCATTATCTTTTAACATAATATCTATTCAATTTGGGATAATGCATAAGTACCCCTTAGACTATGACCGAAATTTCAGAGACACACCTAAACTTAACTACAGTCCTATTACCCCCTAAACTAATTTAAAATGGAAGGAATACACCACAAACGCTGACATGTCATAGAGAGTGTGCACACTCTGTTGAAGGCAAATGATGAGTGCACAAATTGGACACATGTCATTTTTTTATTGGTAACTTTTTAATTAGTTAGTACACATATTTATTGATAATAAAACTTATATATATTTAATTATTTTTGTTTCTTTCTTTGTAAAATATTTATTTTAATTTCTTTTCCCTTGAAACTTTATTTAATTAATTTATTCTCTTTTCACTTTTAATTATTTTTAATAAATTATGTGTATTTTTTAAAAATAAAATTTAAAAGTGTCCTTTAATTTTAATGTTTTAATATTTTTATGTTTTATTTGATTTTCTTCACTTATTTTGATATCCGTTCAAAATTAACTTATTTTAAATACAAGACATTTGAAATCAAATCAAAACGAAAGACAAAGAAAATAAATTCAATAGAAAAATAAAAGAGAAAAAACAAGGAATGTAAGTAAAAAATAAAGTTTCGATACAAGGTAAAAAATGTATATTAACTTTATTTAAATACAAGATCAAAAAATAAGAATATTTTTTTAAAAAAAAATTAAAAAATTAATTTTTTTTAATTAAAAAAATAAAAAATTATATATTTACACACATGGCGGGCGGGTGTGTACAAACACAACCAACTTGGATGGTTTAAGGTGCCACATCAGCACAAAAGGTACACAAAAATACGAAAAAAATGAGTTCAGGAGTAATAAGTTCTTAGTTAAGTTTAGTTGTGTCTTTGGAATTTCAGTCATAGTCTAGGAGAATACTTATACCTTATCCCATTCAATTTTAACAAATTAGTTTGTACACGTGACCAACTATCATTTAACCACATCATTAACTAAATCAACCGTAATAAAAAAATCATCTAACTTTTTAAAGAAAAACAACCATAAACCCATCTACCAACATCCCTTTTTAACCCAAAAAATAAAAAAGTTTCACTTTATTTGAAGACAAAAGAACACTTTATTGGAATTTTTAGAGTTAGAATTAGCTAGCGTTTGACCATAGATTTTCAAATATTTTTGACAAATATTATTTGGGTGAAAATTTGGGTGAAATTTCACCATGTGTTTGGCCATAGTATTTGGGAAACATATTTCTCTTTTTTAGAAAAATATGATTTATACCCATAATTTTTTAAAACTATCAAAACTAACCATAAGTTTGTATTACAAGTCAATTGGATCTTCGTTGCAACAAATAACAAGTAGTGTCCATGACACTGGAGCAATGTGGTAGTTTGGAGTGAGTGCAACAAGCATCATTCCATACATCATGAAATAGACAAAACACATGACTTTGTTATCCTGAGTCGATTGTTCATCATTACATCAACAACCATATCATCACTTTCATATTAACCAAATATTTTCATCACTGTTTTGATGTTCACGTAAAAAATTATGTAATACAACGCAAACAACTACTATAGAGGGTGTTTTTGTAAAAGATAAAAGTATGGTGTTAAATTTCAATTTTTAAAAGATCCCAAATAATGAGATTTGACCAAAATACTAGAAAAAACTAGGATTTGGAAATTTGAGATATTTGCCAAAAATATTTGCCAAATAATGACAAATTATATGGACAAACACTATTTGCCAAAATTTTCACCAAATATTAGAGTTAGAGTTGAAGTTCATTTGTATTTGGTCATAATTTTGCAGTTGATATTTAGAAATTAAATGTATTTTTTTAAAAAAATATTATTTAAATTGAGATATAATTTAATGAGGTTATTTTATGAAAAAATTAAATTTTTTAAAAGGTAGATAACAATATGTTAAAATTATTGAAATTAAGGGAGTTAAATTGGGCAAGTCATGATCCAACTCAATTTTTAGTCCGTTTGAGACTAAAGTTAATTTGGGTGGGTCATGACCCAATCTAATTTTATTTCAACCTTTTTTAATATCTTCAATTGCAATCTAAACCGTTCATTTAATACCCCTAGTTTAAATCAACAATATTTTTTTTAGATTTTTTATTTGCTGTTCAGAATTTATATTGTAATCTAACTAAATTCAAATTCATACCTAAAATGCTCTCTCTAATAAATCTGACTTTGTATCCAAAGATTCAAACCCGAAACCAAAAATGAAGCAGCACTCTACCACAACTGGTTTGAATCAACAAATTTAAACAAGCAAGGGAGTTAGAATAAGGCGGTGGCATGAGTACGTGTCCCAATATTCTAGAGCGAGGCACGCTCTCTCTTAGTAGAGATCAAACACAAATATTTCTACGCAAGTCACGCATATTGTTCTTCCCATTCCGCCCAGATGAAAAAATAGATAAGCAAATTAGCAAATTGTGTTCCGTAATTCCATTGTAATTTAGAAAATGGTTTTGTTGATTCAATCGAATATTGTTCGTCGATCGGCGATACAAATTGCCTCTGCTCTCCGTCAGCTCCACCGCACGATTGATCTTGCTTGTTGTGAGGGAGTGAGAGCGAGAGTGAGATTTTTGTCGACCATTGATGATGCTGCCGAAAAACAGAGTCATGAGAAGGTGTCGAATAAACCATCAATATGCACCGCCGACGAGCTTCATTATGTCTCCCTTAGTACTTGTGATTGGAGACTTGCTCTCTGGCGCTACCTTCCTCCTCCGCAGGTTAACTTCCTTTTTATTAATTGAGAGAGTTGCACGAATTAATTTTAATACTCCAACGTCGTAATTAACAGGCTCCAAGGAGAAATCACCCGCTTCTTCTCTTGTCTGGCATAGGGACTAATGCTATTGGATATGATCTTTCGCCTCAGGTAATTTATTCCCTCCGTCCTCACCGATCTCTGCATGCATATGTCGTTTATTTGTAACTGAACTGGAAAATTCATTGCTATTTTTTTTAGAGGGATCTAAAAATTGAGTTTCCTAAATCTGCTTTTGCTTGATTATCTCATACTTCTGGAGTATGTGAATTTTGATGCATGTATGTGCTAATTATTTGATTATTATGATAAAATAATGTTCCATACTTCAATCCGAGTATGTCATTATTTTGAATAATATCACTTTCAAGTATTTTATATCTCCCCAAAGCGCACTTCGCTATTGAGCGGTAGTTGAGTTCTACTTGGATCTCGCAAATATCTTTGAGATGTAGTTTATGTGGTTGCACCATGGATGTCCTTATCGATAGTTTTGAAGCTGTTTTAAAGAAATGAAATCATGTATTTATTATTTATTTATTGTGATTTTTCAGTCATCATTTGCTCGGTACATGTGTAATCAAGGATTTGATACGTGGATTCTTGAAGTCCGTGGAACTGGGTTGAGCGTGCGGGAACCAGATCCTAAAAACATTGAGAAATCTGCACACACAGCATCTAATGAGATGGAAAATGCTAATGACAGAGGTCTTTCTGCAGCACAGCAGTCAACAAAGGTCCAGGGTGCCTCAGAAAAGGACCATGCTGCCTTGGTCCATGAAGAGCCCACTGTGGTTTCAACAATATGGAATGAGTCAAGACTGGTGACCAAACTTACAGAAACTTTTATACGCTTGTCAGAGAGAGTCTCTGGCTTTGTCAGTGGACATTGGTCGAAGATTGTCTTTCCTAAACTTGTTCGTCGAATATTAAAACGATTGGAGGATTCTTTTCCTTACAAACGGGTCAACAGAATAAGGAAGAAATTGTTAAGTCTGCTAGAGATGAAGGAGAACTCAGCTGTCATTGATAGCCAAGTTGGGGCACTGAGCAAGAAGCTAGTAAATATCTTTGAAGAAGGTCATCGTTCTGTTTCATCCCCATTATTTGATCTACAACAATGGTTGACAACTACAGTAGGAGATTTTCAGGAACAGCTTGACTTAATCCTCAAGTATGATTGGGACTTTGATACTTACCTGGAAGAGGATGTCCCTGCTGCGGTGAGGTGGCCTTTCTCCATGTTGAGGCTGTAAAATTTTTATCTCCTTGAATCCGATCTTTAATTTTGAATACGAACTTTAAGATCTCAGACATCTTTTCTTAATTTTCTCTTATATTGAGCAGTGATTGAGAAAATTATTACATTGCTTGTTTTAGATGGTAGTGATTGATAATTTTTACATTGTTTGTCTTAGATGGAATATATAAAGGCCCAAACTAGACCAAAGGACGGCAAACTACTCGCAATTGGACATTCTATGGGAGGAATATTACTGTATGCCAGGCTATCACGGTGTGGTAAGATGAGATCTAATTTTATAGAGCTCTGTCTGCTGGTGACATGGTAGCAATGAGCACCTTAAGCAAATGACTAGATTTTCATTCATGTATCTTGAACCAGTGGCAAGGAGAACATATTGAAGCTTGAAATTGGTAAATAAACTATGTTTGCTATCCATCTTTGTGGTATCTGGGTGCTTCATGCAGACATATTACTTTGGTTCTTCAATTTGTTTTTCATCCCCATCATATCCTGTTGCATGCATATATCCCTAGTTATACCATCAGGTGAGCATGCTTTTGTTTAATAATAGTTGAGCCTTGCTCCAATAGGCTCAAAGAATCCTTTGGATGGAGTATTTATTTTTTCTTGGTGGCGTTTAATCTGTATTATTGTTGCCTAAAACAACATTATGGTGCACTTAGTAACTGCTCTTGTACTTTCAAATGCATAGCTGGTAATATCCATGGGCTTGACATTATTATTTAAGCATCCAAAAGAGTACTCACAAAAATGAAATGCATATTGGTCTCTCCTGGTATAATGTTGAGTTTTCTCTGTGCTATATTGGATCCCTTAGTCTATGTCAGAGAATTGATAGACAATTAATAAGAACGATCTTGTGTTGTTGATACAGAACATTTCTTCTCTATAGACCTTGGTGTGTAATTTGCGTAAGTGCACTCTTGTAGTATCTCTGAATCTTTTGGTGTCTAATAAAAGTTCACTCTCAGAAAGAGTCTCATTCCTGGTTTAAAAAAAATACGGAAACCACTTGTATCCCTTTTGCTACCTCAAGTTAACCTTGGGAATTCTATCCAAGTTTTCATCGCTGGCATCAAGTTCTCATCTCCAAATACTGATGCAATTACTTTTCGACTAAATCTTAATGAGTTCTTAATCCAGAACCTTTACAAAAGGTAAGAATTTGCTACTGAGGAGAATCTTCATTCTTCGGTCGTCGTTGTAATAGCCACTAAAGGGTGTCTAGATTTAGCCACTAAAGGGTATATAGTTATAGCCACTAAAGGGGTGTTATCTTAGACACCAAGGATGCTGGAATCATTCACATTCATAATAAATTTGAGCTGGAAACTGACCAGCTTTTGAGTATGTCAGAATTGCTGGCCGTGTGAAATGCTATCATTATCTCTCCATATATTGTGGTTAGAATGACTTTAAGTGATGTGTATTTTAAGGAATTTGATTCATTTCTCCGATGTAAAATCCCTTTCCCTTAGCAAGCAGAAGTGATGGCAACATAAGGTATATTTTCCTTTAATTTAGACACGGTTGTGATAAAGCTGGTGCTTCAGATTAGTTTCATGTGAGAAAGTATCCTGTCAAAGTTGCGCCAATCTTCTCTATTCTGCTTTTTAGCCTCCAGTCTTCCTATTTGCAGGGCTGATCCCTCCTATCTTGTTTAATGTAATGAATCCTCGTGAGAGCAACTTGAAGAAATGTCTTAAGTAAAGATCTCAATTAAATTCTTAAAAAGGTGTTCATTAGATCTCTGCGAATTGAATACCATGAAAAAAATGGAATATATGGTAAATTTAAGTTAATGGTGCCTTCTCTTTTATGATAATCTTGTTTCTGGCCCACCTTTTTAGTTTCCATTTGGCTTTGCAGCTTTCTGTATGAATTGGAATACTCTCTTCTTTAAGTTTCAAGTATCCTTCTTTACTGTACAGGGAGCTGCATTTTACATTACATATTAATGGGCTATTTTGTTTAGGATTTCTGAATTTATCAGAGAAACAAACTAGACACATAATTCATTTTGTTATTCCTTTTATTTTTCCTTTGTGAATGAAGGTTTGGAAGGAAGAAAGCCTGGATTAGCTGCTATTGTTACTTTGGCTTCATCACTTGATTACACATCATCAAAGTCCGCACTCAAACTGCTTGTACCACTTGTAAGCTGAAATAATATGTTTCAACTCTTCTTTAGCTTCAATTGCTGCTATCTTCCGTTGCTGAGTAATCTTAGAGCTGTTTACGCTGCTACAGGCTGATCCTGCTCAGGTTCTCAATGTTCCTGTCATTCCTCTAGGGACATTGGTGGCTGCTGCTTATCCTCTAACATCTCGCGCTCCTTATGCCTTGGCTTGGCTTAATGAAATGATATCTGCCACAGACATGATGCATCCAGACCAGATGAAAAAACTTGTAGGGAGCAGCTTTTGTAAGTATTGGCATGACTATAAAAACAGCTTCATGCTTTAACTCCTATCAAATTTGCATGAATTTTTTTTAAGGTCTTAATGTTTATTGGTGTAGAGAATATGCTTTGAAGATTTCAAGAGTTCAGGTTAAGGAGATATTTTTTGGATGAGAGTTTAAAGGCAATAGAGAGAACTGGAAAGACTTACGTGATCTAGAGGATTATTCTAGTGACACTGTATGATGCTCGCAGTTCCTGTTGCTAGTGTTTGTCAGACAATTGCTGCATTAGTAATGAATTATCCTAATAGTCCATTGCCACACAAAACAAATCCTCTTTGTCAACCAGTTGCACGTATTGAAATATTTATTTAGGCATTTATTATGAGCTATGTCTGTCTCTTCATGATTTATAATGTGTTTGATGCTCGTGTAGTTCTGTTTAATAGATGACAATCTGGTTTGTTATAATGTTTTCAGAAAATTACTGGATAACTGTCCTGTTCATAATTTGTGAAAGTTGGTAGCTTTGAATAATGTTCTACCAGAAGTTTGTGTGAATTCAGGGCCATTCCTTCCTATCAACATGTGTTGATTTGGGGTTCCATACAAATCTTTTCCTGCAAAATTTGCTGAATGATCTCCCTGCAGGTAATATTCCTGCTAAGCTTCTTTTGCAGATGACTACGGCTTTTCAAGAGCGAGGGCTCCGTGATAGAAGTGGTAAAATCTTCTACAAGGATCACCTTCATAAAAGTAGGGTACCTGTCTTTGCTCTTGCAGGAGATCTAGACCAAATCTGTCCCCCAGAAGCTGTATATGGTATTTTTTTGGTACTTCCGTGCTGAATACTCTGTAAGAGGTTAAGAATTCTCTAAGATATCTTTCTATAAACCATGATTCAAGCAGAAACAGTGAAGCTTATCCCTGAGAACTTAGTGAAGTACAAAGTATTTGGCGATGCTGATGGTCCACATTATGCTCATTATGACTTGGTGTGTGGACGAATGGTACGTCGATAAGATCTCTATTGAATTTAGAAAAAAGACTGGAAGAAATAAAAAGATAGAGGAGAAGGAGATTATGTCTTAATTGCGTAGAATTCACATTTCATGCTTTCTTTTTCCCATTTCTAGTATATTCAGAGTTCTACATATAGCTTAGATAGAGAATACCCTTCTATTTGAGTTTCGTAGCACACTCGTAACTCTCAGGAATATCGTGCCTTGAATACCCCCTATAGTAATATATTTTCGGGTCTTGACACTGCAGGCTGCAGAGCGATTGTATCCTCGCATAGTCAAATATTTAAGCCGATATGATCGGACCAGCTAGGAGATGGATATGCATTGACAATCATGCTTCAGATGCTGAGCTTCATATCAGTTGGCATATCATTTACGCATCTCATGCTTGTTTATCATCACTACTCGTATCCGATGATGCTATAAACAAGTGAGATTTAGCTATACTACATGATTTTCTGATCTCTTCATTGCAGTATGCATCTGTCTGAGTATCCATTATTGTATTCTCTCTATTTGCGCGGTGAAACCTTAATTCTAATTATGAACCTTCTCTTGTTTAAGGAGAAATTGTGAAGACCCGAAAGCTGAGGGGAGAGCTCATACACAGGAAGGAATTTAGCAGATGTGGTTTGTGTCAACCTTGTTTGTAATATCATCCTCTTTGGCTGCTTTTCACCTGACTTTCGACAGGCGTTTGTAAGAACTGAACTCACAAACATCTAAATTAGCTTTGTTGGTTATGTTTTGCTAATACTAAATTAGTATAAGCAATTGTGTTAGGCGTTTGTAAATTAGAAGAAGCAATTGTTTGAAATAGATTATGTTAATCAATTGTGTTGGGCGTTTGTAAATTAGAATTTAATGTGTTTGCTTATACTAATATTTTGCAATTTGAATTCATTAGATAGCACTTGCTCTATGTTCACAAGTAAGAATGAATTGTACTAGACAAACGGGAATGAAATAGACAAAAGTTATCTAGTGTATTGAGATATTTCATGAGAGCAATTATTTCATTATATATGAGAGAATTTATACCATTATTATTGTATGATTATAGTACAAATGTGATAAATAATCTTGAGACTAATTAATATAACTAAAATAATTCTGCAGGTCTTCATATCAAACGACCCATTTATATATTCAACATTGATTTGTTGGATCCGTAATTGCACATATAACATCTAGTAATTATATATACACAATACATTTTATTAATAATTTTAAATAATTATATAATTTTTCATCAAAATTTTTGTTCCTACCGTTAATTTCATCTCTTATACACTAATAGAGTTTGGGTCGTAAATTCATTTTCTTATAAGAAAGACATGAATTAATTTATGTAAAATGTTAAGCATGATGAATTGGAAGCTGAGTTGGATCTGACAGCTAGAAGCCAACTGGCACAATCTGATTTAACTAGCTTAAGAGTGAGTTAGTGGTGTAATTAACTCGGTTATTTTGAGTTAATTTTATAGGTGGATAATTAGATATTTTAGATTAGTATAAAGACTAATCTTGAATAGTCTTACCTAAACAAAAGAAATTATTTTGTTGGCATCCATATTTGACTTTTCATCCTTTAAATTTATTCATTCGAATTTTCTAATCGTAAAAGAATATGATCCGATAGAATGAAATTTTTAATATTAATGATACTAAATAGAATAAATCAAGATAATTAGAAGCTCTATAAAAAAAATTAGGCAGAAAAATGAAACTTGAAATATCAAAAGAACAAAGATTAAAGAAAAAGGTTTAAGAGAGATGGTTCATATTAATTGAAGGTCTTTTTTTGATATTTTAAAAATATATGCAATAACCCAACTCATTTCTAGTTATGGATTTAAGATCAACTTGGTTTATTATTCCATTTAAAATGTGAAGCAGGTATTATTTTTCAAATTAAAATGTTCAGAGGTTATAGTGGGTTTTTATAAGAAAAAAACTTTAAATTGAGTAGAATTGTCAAAATGGACTAGCATAGTCTATTCGGGCTAATTTATACAGGTTTTGAAATTTAACAGGTCAGGTCGAGTTGACCCATTTTTGTAAATCAAATTATAATTTAAAAGTTCTATCATAAATATCGACAAGACCTTATTACATGGTGTTAATGTTACTACTTGTTAATCAAATCACTAATAAATTACCTTTATAATATTTAGGGAATTTAGTCTGAAAAATACTTCAACTTTGGCCGAAATTGTTGTTACGATACCAAACTTTATGGAGGACCTTTTACCTCCCTACACTATTTAATAGTGTATTTAAAAGGTATATATGTGCCCACGTGGACACATTATTATTTATAATTATGCAATATTTATGATGTCCACGTGGACACATATATACATTTAAAATACACTATTAAATAGTGTAGGGGGGGGGGGGAGGGGGTAAAAGGTCCTTTCCAAAGTTTGGTATCGTTACTGCAATTTCGGTCAAAGTTCAGATATATTTCAGACCCTTTTCCTTAATATATATTAAGTTTGATTTCAAGTAAAAGTATAAATAGCTAAATAGAAATATTAACCCAATTGTTTTCTAATGATCATAAATAAACACAAAAAACATGACAATATTCCATAGGCTATACGACCTACGTAATGATTCCTTAGAATTTTTAGGAAACTTTATTTTATGTAGTACATATTTTATAAACATAATTTGTATTTTAAATTTTAATATTTAAAACTTTAAATAGATTTTGAGTTTGGACTCTTGTTATTTTAATATTCTATTTTATTTTTATTTTTTAATTAATTTTTATTTGGCTCAAAGCCGGCCTACCCATATTTCTCAAGTCCCACAAATTAGTAGGCTTATTTAGGCCGAACTAAACAATTATTTTCTTAAATGGGCTCTAAAAATCTTAGTCCAGCCCTGTCAAATCATGAGTTAAATCAAACCGGTCCAACGAGCCTAGCCCATACTGACAACTTTAAAGTTGAGTTATCTTTTTAATCCACTACAAAGTTTAATAATTTTGCTATGTAATTCCTCATTACCTTTTCAAATATTTTTTCTTATATTTTATCTGGGAGGAATTCATTAGCCTTTCAAGTTCATTCTATCTTGAGTTCAATGGTGAGCCAATCAATTTATAGCTTGTTTGGATTAGTATTTTTCATCCTTCCATAATACATCATTTTTACTATATTGTATTGTGTAATTTGAGCAATATTTAAATAGATTGTATTTGATTGATATTATTTAGTATCTTTTTAATCTCATTTGATTATAATAACTGATGAATATATTAAAGACAAAATTACGTAGAATAGTAAATATTTAGCCTATATTAGGTACTATAGCTATAGTTTAAGAAAATTGTAATTTGCGGCTACAGTCTTTTCAATTCTTGCTATACGTCTGATTTGTATAATTCGTTTGATTTATATAAATCCAGAATTTATATAATTTGGTTCCTGATTGTATAAATTCAAATTTTGTATACATTTACCCTAGCTATTTGTATACGATTTATGAAAAAAATCATAATAAATTACCTTGTTTGTATAGTGTCAAGCGAAATATACAAAAAATTTCTAAATGTATAAATACAGAATTTGTATATACTTACCCCTATTTGTATTTTCGTAAACGAAATATACAAACGAGCATAAATATACAAACCGCAGCCTCCATAGCACACAAACTATATCTATGAAGTGTAGTTATCGAAACTATAGCTATAGAGCCTTATTATGTGTTTGCAGTGGCGGATCTAGGATTTCTGTGAAGGGGGTTCGAAATATAAAGAAGTACACATGTGAAAATTACAAGATGAAAAACTGAGAGACATAGGAGGAAACTAGTAATCTGAATTCAATAACTTTAACTTGCCTTGCCATGCCACATCTAGTTTTTTTTTTACTTTTACCCTATTTCATCGAGCTTTTAAAAAAAATATTTCTTGTGTTTTTTCTCTCTCTTTTATATTGCAGTGTTCTACTCTATTTTTTGATTTTTTTTAAAATTCAACCACTAAGATATTATAATATATATTCATAAGATAAATAATTGACATCGTCGATTTTTTAGTTCATTTAATTCAATTTACTAGGTTAGTCATTCATGAAAAAAATGATGAATTAAGGGGGAGGGGGGGGGGGGGGATCAATTACTTAGATTTTATTAAAAGATTATTCACGACTTTTAAATTTCTTCATTCGATTAACTTTAATTCAATTTATTTTATATAATGTTTTTTGTAAATCAATTTCAAATTTAATAATAATTCATCGTTAGTACATGTAAAAAGACTTATGTAGAAATAAAATGAGAAGTATAAATAAGAAGAATAAAAGACAAAAGTATCTAAAATATGTCTAACAAATTTAAACAAAGATAAATTGAGAAAAAGAAATAGCATAGAGAGAAAATAATGATAACAAAAATAATAAAGCTTTACATTGAACAAAAAATAATGAGACATTTCTTTGAGTTGAGATTTGAGCCCGAAACCAGAGCCCTTTCAGCCTTCCAAAAACAATGAAATGGAGTTGGATTTGAACCCAAAACAAGAGTCCATTCAGCCTTTCGAAGCAAAAAAAAATAAAAAAATGGAAAAATGTTACAAGCGGGAATCAAACCCGAACCATCTCAATCAAAGTTGAACCGCTTAGCCGCTAAACCATGCTTCTCTTTTGTGTTAAGAGGATTCATTTTAATATACGTATTCATAAAATCAGAAATATACCTTATATATAGTGTAGTTTTTTCGACAAGGGAGTTCGGGTGAACTCCTGATCTCCACGTGGGTCCGCCCCTGTATGTTTGTTATTTCAAAATTTTTCTCTATGATATTACTGTAAATATTAGACTTGGATACTTCCTTCTCAACTAGGAACCATAGATATTTTCCCTCTTTTATCCTAATTGAATTTTCTAATTGCTTAATTCACCATTTGTATTATCAATCTTTGTCTTCTCTTTTTAACTTTTTTAAAATCATGAATTTTTATTCTTTTAATCTATGTAACAAATTTTGATTAAAAAAAAATCAAAGTAAAAAATAGTACTTGAGGGTAAGTTATTGGTGTTCTATAATGAAATAAATGAGCAGAGTAAAAAACTTAATATTTTAATAAAGAAAAAATTTAATATTTATTTATACAGCTAAAAATAATAGATACTGTAAGTAATAAAGCTATATTTTTATAAAAAAATTTAAAATATTATTTTATCTATACTGTAAGTAAAATTTTAATTTTAAATTTAAAAATATTTCATTGTTGATAATCAAAAATAGAATTATCTATATAGAGAAACTAAAGAATAAGAAGAGATAACTGAGACATGCATCTATATACATACTAGACAAAGATTGCCCGTTCAGAGCACGGACCTCACTTTGTGCCTTTCAATGTTCTATTTCTTTAATTCAAGTGATTGGAAATTGTATAAGTTATTGAGA